CCCCCACCCTGTTGCCGACTGACTCTTAGTTCAGGGGTTGCAGCCCACGTAGACCACACATCACGGGGTGTACCACCCGTGTCGAATGCATGAACAGCTGCATGAACGGCTGTAAAATGAGATTGTCTCTATTGATGATGTTTGTTTGCATGCCTCATTACCACAATGATACGTTTTGTATCACATGTCTTCAGTTGTCTTTTCATGGTATAACTTCACAAAATTCAGAATTATTAAAAAAAGTTACACGTAAAAAAACATTAATAGTTTGGGTTTAGCGCCAGTATCACTTGTAACTGCATTTTATTTAACATCTCATTGATGCATGAATTTCATCAGCTGAGTTGCTAAATGTGCATTGAAAAACAAATTCTTTGGTACATGATAAATTTCCAAACTCTGCCTTAAAAAGGGTTTGCTGACAGCACTATGAACTGGATATTGTCAGTTGCATATAGGATACTTAGGCGCAGCCTACATTTTTGGGGTTTTGTCAGCCCCACGTGTAGGTGCCTACAAATTGGGACAGCCTACTATCAAAAATTTACATTAACAGGGGTCAACGTGAGCAAACAAAGTAACAAACAGAATCGGAGACCAGATCTATGAAGGTAAAAGATTTATTGTTCAGGAACGGGACTGGATTGAGATCTGGAAACAGAAGGGTTACAGAGGTGAGAATAGGATCTGAATTTCCAGAGGTAATTTGTAAACAGGCAAGATGTTGTTTTGTTACAGGTGCGGGAACGAAGCTCGACGTGGAGGAGTTGGTCCAAATCCAGAGGTGAGTATTTACAGGTGAAGACTTCGGCAGGTGAGTTTTTACAGGTGAGTAGATATTTACAGGTTTAGTGGAGGCAAAGGCAGGCACATGGAACTCAGGTGAGTGGCTCATAACAAATGGTCCTAAGGCAGGCTTGGAAAGGTCAGTAGTCCTTGGTCTGGAAACAGGCAAGACAAAAATATACAAAGGTTAAAGACTAGAACAGGTAACAGGCTGAGATCTTTACCCAAAGAGTAGCTTTAGCGAAGAACTTCTTCTTCTTCTTCTTCTTCTTTTTTATTGGCGGTTGGCTAACAACTTGTGGTGTGCATTACCGCCTGTAGGAGCCTAAATGTCATTATTTGTTTATTAATGTTAAAAGTTTAAAATAAGAACTGCTGATATGAACATAACTAAATGCTTATTTATGTGTGTATTCAATAATTATTTTTGAATAGATAGTTGATAAGACAGCATTTCTGTTTTTTGACCCCCTTTTCTCTCTCTGTTCTTGTTTAAAGTTATGTTTTTCTCTTCTTAACGTTGGATTCTATTGATGTACAGTATGTTTTATATTTTTTCATTTTTGAGATAAACAATTTTGAAGCTTGAACACGGTGGTCCAAGGGAGTTTTTTCTGGATATGGTGGAAGCAAGATGGAGGTTTTTTATTTTTAATTTTTTTGGGGAGTGTCAAACTAAGGCTTCATGGAAGTTGTTACTTAGAAGCTTACACCACCACCTACTAGAATGGAGTGTGGGTCAAAATGCTACATTGTCTGTATTGATTATTACTCTTTTTTGTACTTGTATTTGTTAAATTCTTTTCCTTACTTACAAAAAAACTTATATTCTGTTAATTAACTTTGTTTTCTTGAAGAATCTAATTAAAATGTTACTTTGCTTCCTGAATCTTTCTGTAATAAATTTGATATATTGAATGTTTCTTTAATTGTTCTAAATTCCTCCATCATGTTTCTTCTTTCTCTCATATAGTTATCTTTTACATATTAATATTACGTGTTGTATTGTTTTTATCATTCCACAATGTTGACAGTTTCCACTTTCATGTTTTTTTTAATTATAAAAAGTGTACTATTAAGTCCAGTGTGTCCCATTCTCAGTCTAGTTAATATCTCTTCCTTTCTGTTTCTCCTAGTTACTCTCATTTCCTCCACTTTCCTTTGGATCTTATAAAACCATCTTCCTTTGTTTTTTTTTTYGTTCCATTCTTTCTGCCACTTTTCCTTGATTTTTAATTTAACCAAACTTTTTGCCTCAGATTTACTTATATTTATTGTGAAGTTGATTTGTCCTGTTGTTGCCCTTTTTGCTGCTTCATTTCCCTCCGCCCCAATGTGTGCTGGCCTGGTGCCCATATGAATGTTATTTCTAAATCCATCATCTGTATTCTGAATAATGTTTGCTGTATTTCTCAGCAAAGAACTGATCGTCAGTGCAGCCTTAAGAAGCGTGGGAGATGATGAGCCAAATCCAACGCAGGTGAGTCAATCAGTGCTGCCGGCCAATTAGAGAGGCAGGAGGTGAAAACCTCCAAATGCCTCACCTACGGCGCGGGGCAGTGGCTGCCAAATGCACATTAGGTGAACTGCAGCCCCTGAAAACATACAGATATTTTATTTTCAAACTCCATCGTAGTTTATTTCAMACCTCAACCATTTTTGAACAGCTGAACTAACAAAACTAAAACAAAAAAACTGATTGCAATAAAATAAACTACAACTTTTAACAAYAAACCTCTTTTTAAACTGCTGTTTTGTTTTTAACTACTTTACATCTTTTCCAAAAAAAAAA